TAATTATTAATTGTGGAATGGTCATGTGTCCATGACTGTAATGATCCCGACTCAAACAGGAAGAGATGAAAATTAAAGCATGGGAAAACCATCAGAAAGCATAAACAGAAGCTAAGATGAGGATCATGCTCAGCATAGCATAAATCAAACAAAACCCAAACAATAAAAAAAGAAAAACAATCACTATATGAATCAACAAAAACGATCAAAAAGAAAGATCAGAAGAGAAAACAAATTATAAATATAACTAACAATTCAAATATTAATATATTTTATTTTATTTTTAAAAAAACATGCCTAAACAATCATAAGTTACCTTATCAATAGTCACCCTAAACAATCAAAATCCCAAAAGAACTATCTTTGCATGGTCGTTGTCATTAAAGATTTGAAAATTCTCTCTCATAACTCTACACCACCAAAAAATGCAGAATCAGTGCTAAACTCAAAGAATTTCAATTCTCAATACATGTTTGTTTTGATAAGATGAAGACCAAAAGATGTGCTAAAAAGGTGACAAACAATGCAAGAACTCGTAGCAAACAAAGATGGAAGATGCCTGAAACGAAGGTTGAAGAAACGATGACAAATCTCTCAACCAACAGACAAATGAATGAGACAAAGTCCAAAAGAACTACGGGATTTGGAGTGTTAAGATCCGAAGAGAGGGGGCAAAAAAAGAATCGAAGAAAGGGTTAAGTGGGGGGCAGTTCTGGCTTTACACTGTGCAGCTGGGAAAACAAAAGGGAGAAGCGGACATTTTCGACATCGTAACAGTGTCTAGTTGGATTGCGCTTTAGTATATATAAAATTGAAAATTTTATTATTTGGATAAGTCATGTTAATTTCTTTTATTTTATGAACACTAACAATATTGGGGGAAAGGGGAATCGAACATAACACCTTTAGTGTACGCTCAAATATTCTTAACCATTTGAGCTACAAATCCCTTATAATTTTAAAATTTTCTAATGGTTTATATTAACATGTGTTTTTCACATACACTACTAAGGTGCCATAGAGGTTCGAACATGATATGCAAGTCAAGATCATTGTCCACTAGGCCACTTTTGATACTAAACTATCCGCGAGACATGCTAATTGCTTCTTCTTTATTGGTTTATTGTTAATGCTTTGTGCTAATTGGAATTTATTTTATAATTTAAGGTTAATATTTCAAAGTTATCACGCGAGACATAATAATTAGCTAATACTAAATATTTTTTAAATGCATGAGTTAACCACAACCATTGTAACCTATGTATCTTATTTATTTATTTATAAATACAAGTGATAGTCTAAATTTTAAGTGGAAGGGGGTTTATCACACACACACACACATTCCAAGGTGTCATAAGGATTTGAATATGAGAGAATTGATATGCAAATCAAAACCCCTTTCCACTTAATTAGATCTGTTGGCGTCACTTATCTTTTTTAAATGCATGAGTTGGATAACCACTACCATTGTAACCTATGTCTTGGGTTAAATTCCTATAACATAACCTATAACAAGTTTCATTTAATCCAAATTATATTGTGTATCTCTTTCTCTCTCTGTTTTTTTATAATTTTTTCTCCACGAAGATTCTTCGTTTCATTGCAATTTTGAAGTTCCAATTTTGGGCCATTATTTAAGCTACGAAGGTTCATTACAAGCCCATTTCTCAGTTCTTTGTTGGGCTAAAACAGGCTTTTGATCCATATATGTTGTTAGACTCAGCCCACATAGTTTCATTGTCTGGGAAATCGGTTCCTAACTTCCAGTCCAGGAAGGAACAAAGAAAGCTTTGAGCTTTGGGAAACAGGAAAATAGACATGGCGGCTAACTGTGCGAGACGAACCCTACAATTTTCTTCATCTTCTGCAAAAACCCTTTTGTGCTGTACACCATCTTCACCTTTCGCCTCCAAAGCTTCAAACCTTATCGAACTTACTGCCGTCAGGCCCACTTCTGCTCCTCGACTCGCTGCTCAGAAGCTCAAGTTATCAAGGTTCGATTACTTTTTTTATACCTTTAATTTTGAATACTTTGGAAATTGATCGCCTGATTCTAGAAGAATGGAAAAGAGCGCTGTGACTTGTTTGGCTTCCGAGAAACGAAAATCTGAATCTTGGGTCTTTTGTGCTCACGGGTTTTTTTTTTCATTCTTTTTAGTTATGTGAAAAATGATAAATGGAACTAGCTCCAACTGATGATAATACTTGTATTAAGCTGATTGAGTTCAGTCTCTTTGTGTCCTTGAATTCCGCAGCTTGAATATTGGTGTTCAATATTTCATTTACTTGTGATAATTGCAAATGTTCACAGCTCAGTTCATTATGACAGTGCCTCTAGCTCAGTTCTATTATGTTCATATATATGTGTGTGTGTGTAGTTTTTCTTGTTTATTTACTAATCTTATATGATTGTGATAGTAGTTCCGAAAGTCTTGAGCATTATTGGGAATACTGCTGAATTTGTTACTAAACTTGCTATGATTTGGCCAAGCATCGATTTTTTTCCATGTAATGAACTTCTTCTGCATATTAAACATCATGTGTAAGGAGCCTTTAAAGAATTTTTGTTTCGCACTTTCAGATTTCCTGTGGAGTTGGCTGGTGTGCAGTCATTGATCCCATTGCACAGTGCTACTGCTTCTGCATTGTTCACTTCGCTCCTGTCTTTGCACAATAACAGCTGGGGATGCCTATCAGAAGGTACTCTTCAAAGTTTACTTTTGTTTTCATACAGTGGCTATGTCTGTGGCTTAAGATTTTAAATATCGTTGCACATTATCATTTGAGAATCCATAGCATACCCCTCTTCCATAATCTTTGGCTAATGACATTTTCTGTGGAAACAACGTGAATGGGGTTTTAGTTTATTACCAAGATAAATGTTTGTTACCATGCTATGGATGGAAAGGCTTTTTATTTCTTTTATGTTTATTGCAGAAGAGGGTTTACCTAGGAGACACCTGTTTCTCTTTTACATGTTTTTCAAGTGAGTTGAGTTGGACCTTTGTGTGTGTGTGTGTGTGTGTGAGAGAGAGAGAGAGAGAGAGAGAGAGAGAGAGAGAGTTGTGGTGGAAATTTCATCAAATGTCAGATTAAGATTTCTCGCTGAAGGCAATGCCTAGCCTGTTCATTTCTGTGAAACTACCAACTATGACCTCGTCTTTTACTTAGTATCAATCTACTGAGTAGGTAACTTAAGTAATAGAAGATTTTTGTTTTTCCTTTTTTTTTTATAGACCAGTTGCATCTCATTCATATTGGATCTAAATGTGAGAGATGTTATCACTTAATTTAAATACCTAGATGAGACCAGAATATCAACATCATTTCTTTCACCAGAAAGCATCTTTCATGCGTGTTCAAATTCTTAGATCTCCCTAAATCTCTCTAATGGAGAGGGAAAAATAATTCTCTAGTGCATTGGGTTCAGCAGAATGCCTTGTGTTGAAAAATTGCTACACCAAAAGAAATATCTAAGAATGCAGTGTTTTTAGAATTCTTCACAGATAATCAGGTGACTTGGGGAGGAAGAGAGAGAAATATCTGGAGGTTGTTATGTTATGTATAGGTAGACTGACATGCCAATTGATTTAATTCATATACTTTTTTTTTTCTGCTTATTCATGGTGTTGGAATTTCCTTCATGAAAACTCCTTGCAACTTTTACTTTTCCAGTGGTTCATTCTCTCATATTGCCCCATTAATAACTGGGTTTGTCACTGACGGGTGATTGCGAACAGAGATTGTCGATAATACCATCTCACTGAGGCTTGTCAAATCATGACTCTATCCTCTAGGTTCCCTTCAATGTCTCACCTTGTACATTGCACCTGTATGCAGGTTTTGCAACTCCTCTATAGCATGGCCAGTGAGCTGCTGTTTCTAGGTACAAGCGAGATCATGAATAGCGGATTTTGTTTCTTTTGCAGGTTTCTGATTGCATTTGAACTTTATTGTAACCTGAAAAAGTAGATGATCGTTTCATTGTTTCTCAAGGTTTTTCAGACTCTAGTTATGATAACCTGAAATTCTGCATAATCCCTGGTTAGAAATTTTACACACAAGAGATCGCGACTATCGTGATATAAACTCTGGAGTTAGCTCAATGGTGGTTTTGAGACAATTGGTAAATCGGGTTTGATGCTTATTGGTTTCATCGGCAATAAATTTGCAGTACGTTATTGTATCTTGATGAATAAAACCTCCAATTTTTTGTATCACATTATTGCAAGCTTTATAGGATGCAATTTTCACAGCTAAAAGAAGACTACCGCCAAGAACATAAAAGGATTCTTGATGGACCAAGGATTGTTTTGAACACATTTTCAAACCCTTAATTCTTCCCATGTAATATATTAAATTTTATCAATTATTAGTCCTTGCCATTTAGCACTCAAACATTTAATATTATAAACCAAGGTGGTTGGTGTGAGTGGTTCGGCACTCTCATTCCTTAAGAGAGGTCAGGGGTTCGATCCCTGCTCTCGTACGGAGTCACTACTTTGGCCAATACTTTACCCCTTACGGGCCGACCCGGTGTGAGTGTGGATTAGTCTGGGTTGTGGTTAAGGCTTAAAGGTGCCACTCATAGTTGGGACCCATTCAGGACCACCTCATGATTCAGACCCAAAAAAAAAAAACATTTAATATTCTGGACGAGAATTCAAATCAATTCCAAACAAAAATCAAACAAATATAAAGATTAACTTCTTCCAACATTTTTTATTTTATTTTTGAAGTGTAGTGATAAAGGATTTTCTGAGAATCGGATGAAGCGAAATTTGAATCACATGGCACGAGCAAGTCGTGGTGGTTTTCATTTTGGTGCTGTCAAATATTATTTTTTATTTTGAGAAAAAACATTTATTGAATGTTTCTTATACGCCAATAATTCAGGATCATTACGTGACGCACCAACATAAATGTGACCGTTGCCGCAACGTTCGAAATTTCTAAAATTTGAAAAAGTTACCTTTTGGTACCTACGTCCCGTTGCCAACGGTCAACTTAAACATCATCCGCTTCTTAGTCCCCAACAACAGAGAAAAACCCTCCTCCATCAGAACTAAGAACTATCTTCAACAATCTTGATTGAGATCTTGGTCGAATTGGGGGGTTTTCTGCCAAAATCGTCACCTGGGTATTCAATTTCCAAGTTCGATCGTCGTTTTGCCTAATTCTTCAACATCGAAAAGGCCAGGCATGGCGGCTTTGGCACCGGGAATTCTATTGAAGCTTGTGAATGGAATGAACACAGGGGTCAAGCCCACAAGCGAGCACCGAAACTCGCTTTTGCAGGTCACAGACATTGTCCCTGCAGACCTTGACGAGAAAAGCCTCTGGCCCACGCAGGGCTTCTACATAAAAGTCTCCGATTCTTCTCACTCAATCTATGTCAGCCTTCCCTCTGAACACAATGACTTTGTTCTCAGCAACAAAATGCAACTGGGTCAGTTCATCTACGTCGACAGATTGGAGCCCGGGTCTCCGGTACCGGTCGTTAAAGGCGCAAAACCACTTCCCGGCCGGCACCCTCTGATGGGTACTCCGGAACCTTTAATGGGTCTCAGAAAGAAGGGAGAGAGAAGTGAGACAATGTCCAATTCAAAGACTTCTAGAAGGGGGTCTTGGGGCACAGGGCAAAATGGGGTTGATGACGGTGTTTCATCTCCCATGGTGTTAAAGCCTGTTCCTTTGGATTTTGATCAGTGTACTCCGATTAAGGAGCGTGGTGGTAGAAATGGGTCCATGTCTCCAATGATTAGGGGGCGAGTGGGAAGAGATGGAGGCTTTAATGGCGGAATTCGGAGTTCGTTTGGTGGTGGACTCTTGGCAAAGATGGCGGGTTCAAAGGGAGGTGAAAGTCCTGCACTGAGAAAAAGTTGTGCTACGCCCTCTATGTCTAAGTTTCCAAGGAGCAGAAGTGTGTGTGACAGAGAGCCAAAGATCCCTATTAGTCCCTTCAACTCAGCTGTAGGTACATTGCTCCTCTTTGTTTAGTGATTTTACTCTGCTGCAGAAATTGATTTTCCCTAATAAAATCAGCCTTTTTCTTTGTTGAAGACTGTTGGATTTTGTTTTCTGAGAATTCAAATTCATGTTGCAGGAAAAAAAGAAAAGCTCGACTCCACCACCGCGATTACGAAATGCAAGAGTGGCAACTTCACTCAATGTGGCTGGAGATGCACAAAAATCCTCCAACTCAAAGGACACAGCTTCCCAGCCACAACCCCAGCCTGGTAATTTGGGCAATGAAAACAGCACTAGCCTCCCCATGAATTTGCCAGGACGGCTCAGCATGCTTGGCAAAGTAAGTCCTACATCTCCAAGTGTGCCTTTTAGGTTTTAACCAAAACCAATTTGTTTTGTTCCTTGAGCTGATATTATGTTTTCTGCAGGAAGCTGTGCAGCAGAGAGAGACTGCTCAAAAGATTGCCCTTAATGCGCTAAGAGATGCTAAAGCTACCGAAACCTTAGTTAGATCTCTCAAGTATGGCCAATTCCTCACTTTTGTTGTTTTAGTACATATAATATTTGTCTGCTCAATTGCTAAGACCAATATGGTTGCTTTTGTAGGATGTTTTCCAACCTGTGCAGAACAGCTAGAGCAGATGCCCCGGCAACCTGCTTTGATAAATTTCTGGAATTCCATCACCAAATTGTCCAAGAAGTGACTGGTATGGTCTCAATTCAAGCAGCTACTTCAGCTTCTGAGTTGACTCAGACTCCAAATGTTAAGCAGCAGAAAGACGAAGATCAAGATGAAGACTCTTCAGTCTTAAACGAAATCGTTCACAACTCCATGAACTCAAAATTAACCTTATCCAAGAGAAGGTGCGCCTTGTACAAGTCAGTTGCAGCCATTCCAGAAAGAAACGAGCAGAAGACGACTTTTGAGAAGCTCCTGAGAAGCTCTATAAATCAAAAGGCAACTTCAGAAAGAAAAGCACCATCCACTCCACTTGGAAAGCTGAGTCTTGCAACCATTGGTGAGAATGATGAAAACAAGAAACCAGCTTCAACCAGTTTTAGCAGCATAACCAATACAATCAAATTGGGCAAGCAGATTGAAACAGAAGCTGGGAACTGGTTCATGGAGTTTATAGAGAAGGCTCTGGAGACAGGCATGAAGAAAACCAAAGGCACAACAACAGATGGGGATGCAAGGAAAGTACCTCAGTCTCTCATACTTAAGGTGATTAATTGGGTGGAAGTAGAACAAAGCGATAGCAGTAAGCGGCCAGTTCATCCAAAAGCTGCACATGTAGCTCGAAAGTTGAGGATCAAGATGAAGAATCCTTGAACTGTTGAACAACCCACCAGGACTTGTATTTTGCTTAGTTAGGAGAACTTCTTATGGCAGGCATTGCTGTTATGTTGTGAAATTTTTACCATTTTTTGGAGATTCTGTTGTTGCATTTGAATCTCTTGTCAGCGTGTACTAGTGATATAATTAGGCTCTAATTCTATTGTTAAAAGCTCTACGCATTTGTTGAATCTCTTATGAATCTCAGCATGTACTCAAATCAAAAGTTTAAACTTCGTAAAGGCTTAAAGTTGATTAGGGGTGAGAAAATTTGTGAGGGATAAAATGGTCATAAAAAAAACAATTTGATGAGGCTGGAAATACCGATAATACCCTCAGTCTTTTTTTCAAAACGACAGCTACTATGATATCCTTCTCCTATACAGTACTAGCTCGTTCTGAAAAAAGATATCCTCCTCCTATAATTTTCGACCAAAATAAAAAAAAGATATCGTTCTCCTATACGAAGTCGATAATTTCCCTCTCGCCCTCTTCGAACACAAACGAAAACCCTGGAAAACCCATAAATATTGAAGTCCGAAAAATAAACCCGTGCCAAGCAAGAGATTTAAATTCGGTGAGTAGCTTTCAGATCCCAATCTCATTGTTCCTCAAACGAGTGATTTGTTATTTTTGGTGCTTGCCTTTCGAATTCACGAATAAAGTCTCAAATTTTCAACACAAGGACCAAATTTGGGGTTTAGGGTTATCCCTTTTTTCTATGAATGGATCTTCTCCGAGCCTACTCTGATCAAAACGACGAAGAATTGAACGAGCCAGAGCAGCAAAACCAAAACCCTAGTTCAACAACATCGTCCCCAGACGCTTCACCTCCTCGGCTCCTCCCCGCCAAGTCCGCCGCGCCCAATGTCGACGACACGATGCTGGCCCTGACGGTGGCTGATGGCCATCGGTCTTTGAGTCGGCCAATTGACCCGACCCAACATATCGTCGGCTTCAACCCCACCTACGACCAACTATGGGCCCCAATCTACGGCCCATCTCATCCCTACGCCAAGGACGGCATCGCCCAGGGCATGCGCAACCACAAGCTCGGCTTCGTTGAGGACGCCTCTATTGAACCCTTCGTCTTCGATGAGCAGTACAATACTTTTCACAAGTATGGCTACGCGGCCGACCCATCAGCCTCTGCTGGGTATAATTACGTTGGTGATTTTGAGGCCTTGCAGAAGAATGATGCCGTTTCGGTATATAACATACCCCAGCACGAGCAGAAGAAGCGGAAGATAGAAAAGAGGAAGGAATTAGAGGAAGATGAGGGTGTGGATGACGATATGGACCCAGAGGAGGTCCAAAACCCGGCCAGTGATGTGTGGTTGATGAAGAATAAGAAGAGCCCATGGGCGGGCAAGAAGGACGGTCCGCCAACGGAGCTCACAGAGGAGCAGAAGAAGTATGCCGAGGAGTATGCGAAGAAGAAAGGTGAAGAGAGAGGTGGTGGTGATAAGGGTGAGGTTGTGGTTGAAAAAACTACATTTCATGGGAAAGAAGAGAGGGATTATCAGGGTAGGTCTTGGATTGCGCCCCCTAGAGATGCTAAGGCATCTAATGATCACTGTTATATTCCAAAGAGGTTGGTGCACACTTGGAGTGGACACACAAAGGGTGTATCTGCTATTAGATTCTTCCCTAATTACGGGCATTTGATTCTCTCTGCTGGGATGGATACCAAGGTGAAAATTTGGGATGTTTTCAATACTGGTAAGTGTATGAGGACTTACATGGGTCATTCTAAGGCAGTTCGGGATATATGTTTCAATAATGATGGGAGTAAATTTCTGACTGCTAGTTATGATAAGAATATTAAGTACTGGGATACAGAAACCGGGCAAGTGATATCTACATTCTCGACCGGGAAGGTTCCATATGTGGTTAAGCTTAACCCGGATGAGGATAAGCAGAATGTGTTGTTAGCTGGGATGAGTGATAAGAAGATTGTTCAGTGGGATATGAACGAGGGAAAGATCAATCAAGAGTATGATCAACATTTGGGTGCTGTGAATACGATTACATTTGTTGATAATAACCGGAGGTTTGTTACTTCCAGTGATGACAAATCGCTTCGAGTATGGGAGTTTGGGATCCCTGTGGTTATTAAGTATATTAGTGAGCCTCACATGCATTCTATGCCATCAATTTCACTGCACCCCAATTCAAATTGGCTTGCAGCACAAAGTATGGACAATCAGATTCTGATTTATAGCACTAGAGAGAAGTTTCAGCTGAATAAGAAGAAAAGGTTTGCTGGGCATGTCGTTGCTGGGTATGCTTGCCAAGTCAATTTCTCACCAGATGGACGGTTTGTTATGTCGGGTGATGGTGAAGGTCGATGCTGGTTTTGGGATTGGAAGACATGCAAAGTCTTCAGAACTCTCAAATGTCATGAGGGGGTATGCATTGGGGCTGCGTGGCATCCCTTAGAGCAGAGTAAAGTTGCAACATGCGGCTGGGATGGCTTGATTAAGTATTGGTAAGTAAAGCTTCATTTGATAACACTTTATGCTACTCTGTAATCATTTGTATGTGCAGTGTTTAGTTTTTATTTGTTTGAGTAGTTTCATTTACTTGATGCTAAAGGATGTGCCTATTTGTTCATCTCTGCTAAACTCTTGCAATTGCCAATGCCGACTTTTGTACTTGGTATCTGATATAGCCTAGTGTAGCTTATAAAGTAGTATGAAGCTAACGTATTTCATGTATTTAGCGAATTAGCTAGATTGCATACTTGACCGTGTTCACATAAGCTCCATTATGTTTGGGAACCAGAAATGTAGGATTCCTGACTGACATATTTGTGTTTTTCCCCTCCAGAAGAAACTTCCTTTCCTCTATCCACCTCATGAATATATAGGACACATTTTAGGAATTGAGGTGGATTAGAAAGAAAAAATTGAAATATGTCAGTCAGCAAGTCTATCCACGTCAATTCCTACACATTTTAGGAGCAAATTTGTGTACTAAGAATTGAAATCTTTTCTTATGGGGTTGGATTAGAAAGAAAAAATTTGCTCCTCTTAGGACACATTTTAGTAAAATGGAGTTCTCCCTTTTCTTTTTAAATATGGTTGTAGGGATGGGAGGACTTACACTGTCCTTTTTCCTTACAATGTAGGAATTGAAATCTTTTCTTATGGGGCTGGATTAGAGAGGGAAAATGTACACTGTCCTTTTTCCTTACTTTTCCATCTTTGACTTAGACTTCACAAGGAACTTGTAGTTATGTATACTTTTTTATTTATTAATGGTTACCAGCTGTTTCGTAGGCCTATAAACGCTCGAATCTTCATAACTTCTGGTTGAAGAATTTTAGGAGACTTCTGGTCTGATAAGAAGTAGCATGGTAACTATTAGAAGACAAGTTCTAGTCTTTCGCATCCCTTTCCTACCTAATTATGCCCTAATGACTTGGCATCAATTAACTCTCTTTCTTTTGTGTTTGTGCATGTGTGTTTGTCTTTGATTTAATGTCTTTATTTTATGAAACCCAAATGGATGAAGGGTACCAAGCTGAATGGAGCATATTTCTTTTAGCATGCAACGTATTGCACGAAACAAGTTTGCCACATCTCATGTTTGGTAGTTTAACTGAACTTCCATTTTGGCTTTTCTTCTTTCTATTTATGGTGCTATCTCTGCACAAAAAAGTTCAGAAAGTTGTTCCTTCTTTTCCCCCCGTATGGGACAAATACTAGGCTAATACAGGGGAGTACTTCACCTTTCCCCTCACCAATCTAGATAGGGGTCAGCAAGCAAAGTGTGACCATCAAAATTAATGGTCGATGCCATCTTGCAATTGATCCATTGGTTTCACACATTTGAGTTATATTACATGGAGGGATATTTTTCACAAAACCAAGATTCTTACTTGCTCTTCATAGTTCGTGGAGAACTGTTGCAGTTGCTTACACAAACACACAATATGTTTTGCATTCTCCTTTTGATATTGAATTTGGTGAGTCTGACTAATCTTCTTGTCTGGATGCAGGGACTAGCTACATTTTAGTTCGGTTTGGACAAGGGTACTATAATTTGATGCACCCTTTTCTGCTCAGTACGGGTATGGCACCATTATCGTCTGATGTTGGGGATTTGGCCGGACACAAGGATACTTATAAGATTGCAGGACAAGCTCTACTTATATCTTTATCTTACAATCACCAATGTCATCCAGTCATGCTGGATATGTACTTGTAACCCAAGTTCTTGTTTTTTGTCGCTCTGTAATTGTATTTTTGAAGACTTTTAGAAGTTTAACAAGGGTAATATTTTTGCAAAAGTCTGGTGTACTTGTAGTTCAGAAGACTCAGAGAAATTGACAGCTTCATGGATAGTCTTCTTCCGTCTTATTTGGGCATTGATGGATCTGTATGGTCACCTAACCTATCTTAAATTTTGCTCTCTAGCAGCAACGTTGCATTTGGTGCCATAACATGTTGGAGATATACTTGTTGAAACCTTCATGGCAGTTTAGAAGCTATATTAATTACTCTTTCTAAAGACAATTTGCATAGTTTCCCTTGCATCCAAGGTACTAGGTCCGATGCATACAAGTGATAAGAATACTTACCTATATACCCGATGCATTCAAGTGAAAATAATATTGACTTATACGCCCGATGCATACAAGTAATAATAATATTTACTTATACTCCCGAGATATTAGGCTTGATTTATACCTAGCCGATTTGGCTGTATAAAAAAAAAAGAATTCTAGTCATCAATATTTCCAGACCAAAATATAATTAGCACTCAGCAAACAACATAGACCAGTGACTAGTCCTCGAAACGATGTCGTTTTTAACCTAGTTAGCGACCTTAAGCCTCTTCCATCCCTGGACCTTACTGGTCACCACTGTCGTGTCGCGAGATATGGGTCGTATGTGGATGAGACGGATCCTACTCAGACAAAACTCTCTACCTCTGCTGAAGCCTCCCATGGCCTGCTTGTTAACGCCTGCGACACCCCAAAAGCCCATCTCCTCTCCCTTTCTGAAACCATCACCACCAACTTTCGCTCCTCTTGCCTCGTCCCACCGTCGCTCTCTTTCAACAGCAACAGCTTTTTCTCTTCCGGATCCTCTCGTTTCCCTCGATGGA